CATTTGCATACAGTTACAGGGAGTGTGTGTGGATGACGGTACTCTAGAGAACGGCTCCAGCATGTCCAGGAAACATGGTCACTCTTTATAATAAGGTTTCATTAGTTCATTTATTTATTAAGCGAAGACTATTTATAAACTAAAGTCGAGAGGATCACGTGCTCATGATTGATCACAGCTGGTCCTGCATTATTCAATTATTCCACTCTAAATTCTAAGCCACTCTAAATACATAATAGTTCCATATCACAGCCAACTTGGTTTTGAAGAATCCCCCTTACACCCCTACTCCTCCTCCTTTCCTAGATGGGTGGCCCAGTGGTTAGCACTGTTGCCTCACAGCAAGAACGTCACTGGTTTAAGTCCTTACCAAGCCAGCTGACATTTCTGTGCATGAATCGCCAACTTATCCAGCATATATGTTTTTTACAGCGGATGCCCTTCCAGCTGCAACCCAGTACTGGGAAACACCCATACACACTCATTCACACACACACTCACTCTTATACTTCGGCCAGTTTAGTGGATCAGTTCCCCTATAGCGCATGTGTTTGGACTGTGGGGAAAACCGGTGCACCCGGAGGAAACCCACGCCAACACGGGGAGAACATGCAAACTCCACACAGAAACACCAACTGGCCAAGCCGAGACTCAAACCAGCGACCTTCTTACTGTGAGGCCACAGTGCTAACCACTGAGCCACCCGCAATATTAAAGTTTATGCTGTAATTGCTTTGCACTTAAAACCAATAACCCTGAGGAAGTCTGATGTTTACATTTATTGTGCATTACCTCTTGGTGAAGGTGACCTGCTCTTTTGTGATGCTCCATGAATGCTGAACAGCACAGAGAGATTCTGGAGCTCAATATGCTGCCTTCTGCTCCAGAGACGCCCATGCAGAGTCCAACAAGACAATGCAGAACCACATTCAGCTCACATTACCTGCTGCAGAGGACGAGGAGACAGACGCTGGACTGGCCTGCCTGCAGTCCTGACCTGTCTCCAATTGAGAATGTGTGGCTCGTATTGAAGCATAAAATGCAACACCAAATACCCCGAACTGTTGCCCACCTTAAGACTTGTTTGCAGGAAGAATGAGACTAGGATGAATCCCTCCATAACTCCACTTCTTCAGTCCCTAAACGTCTAAAAGTGTTGTGAAAAGGAACGACAACATTACAGAGTGGTAAAAGCTTTACTGATGCAACTTTTTTTTTAAATGTGTTGCAAGAACTAAAATTGGAATATGTGTTTATATAAATAAATGAAGAGGAACACATTAAATACTGTTTGTTGTATCGTCTGCAATGAAATTTAAATCAAAGTACATTTGTAAATCACTACTTTCTGTTTTTCACTGCAAAACCAGTAAACCTAAGGAAAAGATCTCTTCATTGATCATGCATGTATGGTCTGAATGTAAGCTAACTGCTCGAACACTGCAGCACAGGTAGTGACAGCTAACTGATGCACTCTTTTGAGGCGTCTGAAGAAAAGCACACCTGTGCGTTGGCCAGCAGAATCCCATTGACGCTCAAACACTAGCGCTAACAGACAGTCAACAGTACAGCAGCACATTTGAATCGCCATTGTCCCTCTGTAGGCGCCATAAACCCAGCAGACAATCAAGTGGAACGTGAAATAAAAGCAGTATTTTCCTAGCAGTGTGGCGGTGCCGTGCTCCCGTGCCCTTCAGCTCGCTTTGCATGGCAGGTCCAGTTAAATGAGGAGACCAGATTCTCTCTACCTGGCATGCAAACCAGCGGAGCAGCAGTTAAAGCAGCGCACAGGTGTGTGTGCGTGTGTGTGTCAGGTGTGCTCAGATTGAGTTTGAAGCTGGAGCTCTGCGCACCTGAAGATGCCGCGCTCGTTCCTGGTCAAGCGGAGGCAGGCGGCCGGAGCAGGCTGGACCTGGAAGGACACGGAGACCACACACACACATACAGGTCTGAGAACTGCAGATTATTCCTTTAGTAGCAGACACTGGGTCAGCAGGAGTCAATGACGAGAGAGTAAATGATGACTGAGTAGTTAATGAGTCAATGATGAGGAAATGATGACAGGATGATGACAGAGTAATTGATGAGGAAATGTGTACTGTATGATGACTCTGTGTAAATGATGAGTAAATGTCAGTTAAATGATGAGTAAATGATGACAGGATGACGATTGAATGGTGACAGTGAGTATAAGATAAGTAAATGATGATTAAATTATGAGTGAATGATTAGTAAATTATAATTTATGATAAATAATAAATAAATGATGACGCAAGATGACACTGAGTAAATGATGACATAGATGGATGGACGAATACAGACAGACAGATAGATAGATAGATAGATAGATAGATAGATAGATAGATAGATAGATAGATAGATAGATAGATAGATAGATAGATAGATAGATAGATTGGATAGATAGATAGATAGATAGATAGATAGATAGATAGATAGATTGACGGACAGACAGATAGATAGATAGATAGATAGATAGATAGATAGATAGATAGACAGACAGACAGATAGATAGATAGATAGATAGATAGATAGATAGATTGACGGACAGACAGATGGATAGATAGATAGATAGATAGATAGATAGATAGACAGACAGACAGACGGACGGACGGACGGACGGACGGACGGACGGACGGACGGACGGACGGACGGACGGATGGATAGATAGATAGATAGATAGATGGATAGATGGATAGATGGATAGATAGATAGACAGACAGACAGATAGATAGATAGATAGCCTAGATAGATAGATAGATAGATAGATAGATAGATAGATAGATAGATAGATAGATAGATAGATAGATAGATAGATAGATAGATAGATAGACGGGT